CCAACCTGAACATGAACCTAAAAGTGAATAAAGATGCATGCTTTAACGTTCCAATGTGTTAAAAACGGAACCTTTGGAGTGATATCTCGCGAAATGCAGAAACTGCATTCTGTCGCGAAATATCCGGATATGATATCCGGTTATGGGCTTTATCATATCCGAATATGGATATCCGGATATGATATCCGGATATAGATATCCGGATATGTCCCCGACGAATATCCGGATATCCTGGGAAGTTCGAGACAGTAACGGTACTGTTCATACATAATGATATTTTGGGTTTGTGGACCCATGATTGGCTAATGTGGACTTCTGTAGTAATTAATTTAAGTCAGAATCTAAGGGATTAAGGGCTTATAGCTTTGTGAGAAGCCTAAAGGCATGGAACGTAAAAGGAAGGCGTTATCTTTATGTCATATGCATGTAGAGTATGAATATTGATATGATTATTGATCCAAACAGATCATGATTGTGCTGTGTGTGGACCTTGAGCGGGTGTGGACCTTGGATTGGATTGATTGCTTAGAGGTAAGCTTTCGTGTCCTCGGTTTAGCCATTGTTGGTTCCACCATACCCCATGGAGGAATGGTTTATATGCATGATGTGTTTCCATGTATTGATTTATTGAAATGCTTTTGAGCTGTTAAGTGCAAATGCCTTGTGATATGTATGTGATGTTTCGCCTAGACGGGATGATGATGCTGTGGGCAGGTACGGCATGGGCGTGTACTATTGTGGGTTATAGACGTACGTACATCCTGCATTTCTCTAGCCAGTAGAATAGTTAACTCACATGACATGATTATATGTTGCATGCACTAATTTGGAACTTATATTGTTAAACTGCTTTAGAACTTATATTGCACATGTAAATGAGCTTGGGGTGGAGAAATCTTTGAGGACCCCTTGTCTTACTGAGGTTTCTGTTTAGAGATCTCACCCCACGTTTGAGGCACATATTTCAGGTTCAGGTAACTCGGGGGTTGAGACCTCGGGCGGCAAGAGGCTAGAGCTGAGTTAGACATTGCTACTTATACTGTTATGATTGGATGCTGGCATGTTTCCTGTTATCGTTATGATTATGTTGTTATTGTTGAGACTCTGTTGGGCTTGTTGCCTTATTTGGTGAGCATGGAGGTTGTCCATGCCACATTTAATATATATGCCTTATTTGTTAAATTTTGAATATAAAAAATAAATTTATTTTTATTTATCTGGTTTAAGCGGTTGAACCAGTAACCCACTAATCGATGCCTTGATTGATTTGATAAGCGGTTTGAGTTTCATAACATTGGTTCTTACATAGATCTTAAACAATATTTTGTTATATGTTTTTCACACACAATTTTAATAACAGAAAAGTAATATATCACCAAAATAATCAATTTAAAGGAGTGATCCTTTTCACATATCATTGATATAAGTTGAATTGTTTTTTTGAAAAGAATTTTTACAAAATTTTTTTTATTAATAAAATATAATGATTGATTAATGAATGAAGAACAATTATTGAAAGCTGATAACAAGTTACTGAATATGGTAATTAATTTATACACATAGTTAACTAACAATTGATGAATCAATATCAATTTATGGGGAAAATATTGTATATAAAATAAAATGAGTTGAGTTATATTGACAAATTTTTTTTTTATAAATTTATAAATTACATTATGTCTGACCGATAATACTCTACTCAAAAGTGTATTACCGATTAGTAAGGGTGAAAGTGGGCCGGGCTGGGCCGAGCTTCGCCCCGAAAAGCCCAAGCCCATGCCAAAAAATATTAAGTTGGCATGACCCGATCCTAGTATAAGTCAACTGTTAGTCTGGCTTGACCCGTTTATATAAAAAAAACAAATAGCCTGGTTTGACCCATTACCCTATTAATTTTTAATTTCCAAGCAGGACCATGAATCAACTTCACAAAATACTCAAATTTTGTTGCTAAAATAAAAATCACAATTTCAAAGTCCAAACAGAACCATGAATAAAAAAAATCATCACAATATGCATTTAAGTCACTTTCAAAAGCAAAATGCTCAAACTAAACAACATATATTTCATCAGATCCAACAAAAAAATCTATACTATGTAAATTAAAATAACTACATGAATCCAACAAACACATCATGATGCTTGTAATAACCAAAAACTTCTCTTCATCTTCTCTCCCCTACAAATACAATTCCAAGATTACATAAGTTGGCAAAAATTTCTAAATGTAGAAAACAAAAAACAAGAATAAAGAATAGAAAAAAAATAAGATTAAGAAATAAAAAATATTTTAATTGATTCATATAGGCAATCTCATATGCTGAGATGTTAGTTCCTCCTATATAAAAAATAAAGTCAAATTTCTATTAAATTTTTATAAAATATAATTAAATTATAAAATGATTTCATTTGATTAAATTTATACCTTTTGTTTTTTCTTCAAGTCATACCTATTACGTAGCCAATCTCCGCGGTATATTAAAGCTTCAATGATATCTTCAACTAAGATAAAATGATATGCATCAATAACTCTTCCTCTAGCAATAAATGTTGATTCTTATGGTACTGTAGAGATTGATACAGATCTTATGTCACTCTCAAAGATAGTATTGGTGAGAGAACGAACCTAACTCCTTCCACCACCTACTTAGCTCACATGCACCAACTGAACTATTACCATTTAATATTATTATGAATAATATTATTATGAATAATATTATTTTATTTAATTTAAAATAAATAATATGATATAGGCAGACCTGTAGGCTTATAGGCCCGGTATGTAAAGAAAAAATCTATCACCTACTTTCTAAATATGTTTCTTTAAAAGTGTAGGCCTGTTCTATTTAACTATATATAAGAGGCCAAGTCCGGCCTGATATAGGCTAAGTCATAGGCTCTTGTAAGCCGGCCCAACCCACTTTCACTTCTATCGGTCAGACATAGTTTAGTTTGTAAGAGTTTGTAAACAAAAAGTTTATAAATATATTCAGCACTGTTGTAATATTTTAATAAGAGTTTTATGTTTATCATGTAACATAATATAACCTTACTTTCTTACACACACATTAATGAGGTAGGGTCCACATATTTTTCTTTCTCTTTCATCATTTCACTTTCTCTCTCTCTTTTATTGTATGTGTTGAAAACAACACTTAAATTATGTTACATAACATTAATAAAACCATTTTAATAAAGTTAGAATATGGTAATCCATCTAATTGTACATTTACTTATTTTTAATGGTTAGTGTTATTTTTTTATTTTCGATTTTTTTTTTTGGTTTTCTAATGTATCATAGTCGACAACCGAAGATTAATTCTTTTGAGACGGAAGATCACATTAAGTGAGCAAACCTCTCTCAATAAAGTCTTCTCCATACACACAGCTAGGAATCGAATCCCTGTCAGCATGCTTAAGGAACTCAGCTATCTACCAACTGTGCCGGACTTTGTTGGTAGTGTTACTTTTTTTAATGTTAAATAAAGAAGTTATGTGGTTAATGTTACTTATTTTTATTTTGCATAAAGAAGTTCTATGAGCGGGATAGGAGGAACCCATAATAGGAACCACCAATGGATAAATTAGAGCAACTATATTAAGTGGATGACCGATATCTTGTCTCATCAATCCAAAATATTAAGATATTAGATTCATAAGTCCTATCATTTATACTTCCAACTCATTACCAATTAATATTTAACTCCATCAAACTTAAATATCTCAAGTTTATACGGAAAAATGAAGATTTAACTATTTATGTTATGGAAGAAAATGAATATAGAAATGAAGTCAGTTGTTGTTGTTTTTTTTCCGGTAGACTAAGTCAGTTGCTTCAATTAAAGGAGGATGGCCGGTCAGAAAATATTAAAATGTATTGTCCAACACCTACCTTTTCCCATGCTGCCTAGCACATAACCTTATGATAACGTATTAATGAATACTATCTTATTTCAAAATTAATAGAAAAATGTTTCTTTTACATATGATATTTTACGCCTCTTATACATTAATTATTAATGAATAAATTATTAGTTATCGTTAACAATGTTTGATTGACTATCACATTTGCAATATGTTATTGATAAGTCAAAATAGATGATTAGTCTGATAACTAATCCATACACCTAAATTAATAATTTATTCATAGTCAATAATTTAAGTTATGGAATTCGATGGTTAAAAATAGGTTAGCAAAATGTGTGTTGTGTTGATATGTGGATTCAAATGGATGTGTATGAGTTTAAAAAAATGACACAAATTATTATTGTATTGTGTGATAGGTTGGTTAGCGTGACTTAAAATAAAAACAAATTAAAATTTTGGTTATTTTGACACGATTCGGGTCATTAATGGTAAAGCTACTTATTTAATTCAAGTTTTTTCTTACTATTTTCAAGTTTTTTTGGAAAAAAAAAAAATCATATTTTTTAGTTTTTTGTGTGTCAACCTGTATTTTTTAGTTTTTTGTGACTGAATTTAAATTTTTGACCCATTAATAAAAATATGTGTCGTGTTCGGATTAGACGATTTCACCCACAAATTGAATCTTGACACGACACAGATTGAATCCACGAATATACATTTTGGCACTCCTAATTAGAAATTACAAAATTGATTTTCAGCATACATCTTTGGCCCTTTTCCTTTTCCTCTACCATGACTCATGAGGATTAGGTAAGTTAATACTTCAAACATTGAGAGCATCTTGTTCAGCAAAAATCCTAGCACCAACAGCCAAAATCAATCTAAGGCTTTCTTTGAAAGTTGAATACACACCGAAGGACAGTAACACATGACAAGCCAATGAATGCTTAATAGTAAATTTATGGTTCTAGACTATAATGTTTTCAAAAAATAATACCAGGATTCATTTTCCATTCGTAGTAACACATGAGATCCATTTGTATAATTCAAACAATGAACTAATAGAAAATGTCGTGGACAATGATATTCTCTTACTTTCACCATGTATAGGAAAAAACCCATGACCCATTAGATCATGGATAAGATGAAAGCAAAGGGAGAGGAATACATGGAGAATCCTTCCAAACTGTAGAGTGCAATGTGAGTATCTCCTTGGCCCGCTTCTTAGCCTTGAAACTACCTTCCACTTGAAGCACCAAACATAACTTGGACACAACCCCAAATAGCATCATTTCGTAAAGGACTCTTGGGGTGGCTGAATACCTACAAATGGAAGTCAAAATTTTAACCCCTCTATCACTTGCCACATGAGAAACCCTTAGGATTTTCTTTGATACAATAGCCAATCCAGCTCCATGGCTCAACAATTCTGCCCTTCCTTCTGCACAGCCACAAAGTCGATCCAAAGTTATCAACATAAGCTCACATGCTCTTCTTTCAGAGACATCAAAAAGGAGCTCAATGAGGACTAAAACCGCACCACCCTCAATTGCTTTGATTCGGTTTCTACCCTTTGGACACAACTCCACAAGAAGCTTCAATGCAGCCTTTGAAGCTTGATGTGATATCTGATCCCTTAGCACTCTTATTATTTCAACAAACAGTTCTGTTCTGACACTGTTCAATTGGGTTGGACCAGCCACCTCAAATGCTGACTTCAATAGCATAGTTGCATAAGCTCGAGACTTGTGGTTCCCAAGCTTCAAGACCTGAAACAAAGACTCAATAAATTGAATGCCCTCGTTGTTTATAAGATTCTTAAGCTGAGATCCTGAAAGATTTATGTGAAACAAAACTTCAATAGCTGCTTCACTAATAACAGTTGAATCTTCTTGGCCATTGTTTATCATGGTTGAAGCCAAGAAATCTATTGCCCCTGCTGACTCCAGAGAGTTTTTGTTACTTTCGCTTTCAAAAGCAATAGATTGAAGCCTTCTAAGGCATTTGAGATGCTTATCCGGGAATCTCTTTGCTTCAGAGAGGAGTTTCAGTACTTGAGTTTTGTCAATGGTTGGCTTTGGAATTGGAATACATTCAATTCCAATGAAGGAATTAAGGGTGCACCAAGCTTGGATCAAACGGTGTAAAGTATGGTTTGGGGTAAGATCAGTGTGTAACAGTGATTGTTTAGTAACAGGGCACATATTGTTCTCGCATGAAAATAACCATCTCTCTATGTTTTCTCTATCGTATGTGATTCCTGTGCATACTGTGACAGGGTCCTTCATAAGTTGCAAGGAAATAGGGCAGAGGAAAGGGTCAGGAATCTCAATTTCATTCATGTTTTGGAAGGATGGATTGAACTAAGTTCCAGCAAAAGGAAAGGACTTGAAAAGAGAAAATGTTATAAGTAAGACTAAGCAGAAAAAAAAAATTAAAACCCGAAATTAGCTACAAATTAAGCTGAACATTGCAGAGAGTTGAATATTGTGATGACAACTCAGATTTTGGATATTGAATTATGTATGAAGCAGCTGTTCAAGGCACGTAGTACCAAAAAAATTGTGGTATAAAGAAGGTACTAATTTTTTTATACAAGTTTTTCTGAACAATAAAGTCAACACAGAGAAATTAATAGATAGATATGGGGATGGTGAATTGGTTAGGACTATTTCCAAGGTTTTGTAAGGACAAAGTGCTTATAATATGTGTTGTGACTTTCTTTATTTAGCTTTAGCTTCGGTACGTGGGAGATAGAATAATAAATGATGAACCATGAGGTCTTCAACCATATCATCATTCATGAGCCACCGTTGGTATTGCAAATTGCAATTAAAGCCTGATGTGAAGGCTTTTCATTTCTACTTTTAGTTTTTCAGGTTTAAAAGAAAAATATGGAGATACCTATTCTTCTCTCTTTTATCTCTGCTTAGACCATAATGCCTGCATGGCGGGTGCTGACAAGCATTCATTTGCCACAACTGGACAAGTGGCGGAGCCAGTAAAATACTTTTGCCAAAAATTTTAATTAGTATTAAAATAGCTACGGTTATATACCTATGTGCAAGTCGTAGTTAATTGTCAAAAAATTTAAAACATGATTTGCTACGTTTATTTAGCTACACTTGAAACGTGATTAAATTAGTCAGTGCCAAAATACCTACAGCATGCCTTTCTCACGCTTTTCATGGCTGCACTCATTAATGTTTTCTTTTGATTGTTTTTGAAGAATAAATTTTTAGTGCATCTATCTATTTATTTTGTAACACGTGGAGTCAAAGTATCACATCATTTGAAAAAAAATAGATGATGTAATATTTTTTGTTCACGTTTTATAAAATAAATAGACAGATATACTGAATCTTCGTTGCATCTGATACACTAAAGATTTATTCTTTATTGAAAAATTTGATAACACGTTGGGACTTATGATCTTGGAATTTCTTATCTGAGCCGGATTACTCTATTGTTGTTGATTTGACCTGCACTCATTTACCGTTACTTGTCCATGTGTCCTAATTTTCTTTAATTATGGCACTTTTTGTTGGAAAATTAGATTGGGGCAAGTACCATAGAAGATAATGAGTTGGATCATGCATGAGATACTGGTAGACAACGTATATCATAAGCATCTAAAATTTTTACTGTTGTTATTTTACAGCCCTATCCTCAACATTTCTATTTCATTAGGTAAAAATGTCATAGAATGTCGACAAGTTTGAGTCAAAGACAAGCATATATTCAAAACAGAAAAGGGAAATATATAAATGAGATTTGACTTTGGACTTTTGTATATACAACATGTACAACTAAGATTTGAATATAGTCATACTCATTTTTCTAATCTAGTGAGACGTGATAATGTGCCAATAACACATCAGAAAACTTGTATTTTCTAGGGGGAAATAGTATAAATCCAGCACACTGAAATCAGGCATGCTTGAAGAAAAATAATGAGGGGTTCTTATATATTATCTGGATTTTATTTTTATTTATTTATTTTTTATGCATAGTTGTTTGCATTGTCAGCGACTCAGCGTTGGAATTTGGGAAAAAGGCTATTGTCTCTTTTTTTCTTCCCTTATATATAAGTCAATTTCTGACAATCTTATAAAGATATCCATGTGCTGCAAAATTGAAATTAGCCCTTACTCACATGTCATATTGAAAACTTCAAACAAATGGTGGACTAGCACCATTAATTCAAAGGCGATTAATGGTTTCACACAATTACAATAAATAAATTTAATTACAACCGAAATTACAAGTAAATAGGTGCTCACTTCGTTCTTTTTTAATTAGTCTCTTTATTAGATAAGCGCCTCTCTTCTTTATTATTTGTCTCTTTAAAAAATTAATAAAACACTAATTATTTTTATTTGACTTCAATCTTAATATTAATAAGTGAAAGAAAAGATTAATAATGTTCTACACATTTTAATGAAGGACAATTCAATCAAATCAACTTATTTTTTTTCTCATAGTCAATGTTATCTAATAAGTTTGATTTCTTAATTGTTATAAAATAATATTAAAACATGAATGAAAAAGAATCCAGATTGTCTGAATACAAATAAATTCAAAGTCTTTGTTTATGTGTTATATATATGGGTTTTATAATTCTCATTTAATATGAGAATTAAATTTTTCCTACACACCTTTCGATTTTCGTGCTGACATGGGTTCTACATATAATTTTTTCTAACACATGAGTCTCAATGCTTTTTATCTCTACAATATGAGATTTCAATTCTCATTCAACATAAGAATTATAAAACCCTATATATATTATTAAAAACGATTTTAAACAACTAACATTATTTTAATAAAAAAAATTAAATTATTAGTATTTGTTTGGGGTCGACGCATCACGTCGGTAAAATTAAAGCAAACGAATCTTGAACCTGCCATTGAGGAATTGGGGGCAGCAGCCCAAGAAAACCCTTGGCGGGCTGACGATAACGAGAATAGCGGGGCTTGCGGCTACAACGCAGACACACCGCAAAGCGAGTTCAATTTTTATTTCTAATATTATTCTTATGGGAAAAATATATATCATTTTAAAAGATATAATTTTATATCATTTTAGATTCTAACTCTTGATTTTCATCTATCAATAGTTATAATCTATTGGGTCAAACTTAATAGGCCAAATTTATTAATTAATTAGTAATTTTGATCAAATAAATTTTAACTGTTGATGGACGAAAATCAACGGTTAGAATCTAAAACGAAATAAGCTTATATCCTTTAAATTGACAGATGTTATTCCTGTATCCTTAATATAAAATAATGTTTTATATAATTTGGATTCAAAAATATAGATCCTTGTTGATATATGAGTCATACACAATCCCGTCGGAAATTACCTTATATTACAATTTTATTTTAACCTTAAAATGAAAAATGCTTTCTCCTATTCTAAATTTTCAGTTGCAAAATTTAAATAAAATAAAATACTTATAAATGAATTAAAAAAAATTCAACTTTTTTCTCTTAAAATTTTTGACATTTGAATGAACTAAATTAAATTTGAACAACCTTCGTATATATAGCACGATCGAATTTATTTCTTGAATATATAATATAAAAAATATATGTTATCACCTATGGGAAAGTTGATTGTATTATTGGTTTTATAATTCTCATTTAACATGAGAATTACAATTTTCCTACACACCCTTCGATTTCCGTGCTGACATGAGTCTTACATATAATTTTTTCTAACACATGGATCCCACATGCTTTTTATCTCTATAACATGAGATTTCAATTCTCCTTCAACATGAGAATTATAAAACCCTTGTATTATATGGTGTTATAGGCTTATAGCCTATTACTAAATGGTCTACAATTTCGTCCTTACTGTTCTTGTTTTATTAGTAAAAGTAAAAATAAAGTTGAAATTTTAAGTGCAACGTAACCAAACTAAAAATAATAAAATTGGTCTATATATTATTCACATTTCAAAACTCAAAAAAGATTATCATGTGATGGGACATATTAGGAAACATAATATACAACAAATATCCATTAAACTTTTTTTTTAATTTCTCTTTTCCTTGAAACGAAAAATCACTTAATGGATTAGGTTCTATGTTTTTAGGTTTTTAGATCGAATTAGTTGCATTATACTTCTCATATCTGATTTGATCCCCAAATCTTAACATGAGATACAAATATGTCCTGTCAAAATACATATTCAGGATTTGATTCTCATTAACGGCTCTCCATTGATAAATTACATATAAATGCCGTTACAATCTTCGTTGAGATTATGACAGACTCTCTTATACTGAAATGGATTTTCTAATCCTAAGGCCTAACATTTTTCCGCTAAAAAAAAAAAACCAACATCGACAATAGGACAATTGTTGGAAAATTAATTGCATGGTCCCTTTCTCTCTCCTTCTTCTTTCTCTCTCTCCTCTCTTTTCTCTCTACCCGGCTCATGTGAGCCGTGAGCCCGGTGCACCAAATAGTCGCTCCTGATGTTGATACAACCCCTTAAGGATGCTTAGATTTTATTTGGGTTGCTATCCCCAGATTGATCCTTGAATAGGGAAAATAATTTTTTTCCTATATTTAAAAATAAAAAATAAAAAATCTGATGTTATTATTATTAGTTGGGCTTGAGTAATTTGAAAATTATTGGTTTTTTATTGCTTTGTGTAACACCCTCCCTTGTATGCATCCAAGAGAGTTGTTTGCTAAGCGGAATTAGAGTTCGTTCGTCATATTTTAAGTACTAAAAAAATCATTTTGATGTTGCTAATTAAAACGTGTAATTGAAATCAGTTTCCTTCCAAAAATCAGAGTGTACATTCAAAATTTCTTAACTTGCTGAAAATATTAATTTTTCTGGCATACGTTGTTGTCTTGTAAAATTCGTATCAAATCAAATTCAACGATTCTAAAAAATATTCCATATAATCTAGAAAGAGCACGTCTGGGGCTTCGCGTGCATATAAAATAATAGTAATTCGGAGTTCGTTTGCCCCTTGAAACATAACTCGCAAAGTGCTCGCGAAACTGTTTAAAAATCAGCACTTAGTAAAACATCGGAAATTATTTTCGCAAAACGTTTCTAGAATTTGTTGTCAAAATACTTGCTGATCATAAAAGTCTTAAAACATCAATAAAATCATAATCCAACAGTAATCCAAACTACTCAAATTAATACAGTCATCCATCAAATAAACAGCCACAACAAGTGTCCAAACAGCAGCACATAACAGCAAATATCCATACAATCATGTCTTCCTATGCTCTTTCGTCCTCCTGCCATTTTGTAAAAATAGCAGCCCCAAAGGGGTGAGAAAAATCTCAGTAGTGTGATAAC